GGACGCTGATGTCAGTAACATGCTCACTACAATAATATTGTCATTAAACTTAAGGCCATCCAAAGCAAGCAAAAAAGAACAATATAAGCCTTTTCTCCAATTTACTAGAAAGAGATAAAAAAATAAATTGAGCTTATATTGAGGAAATGTATTATTTCTCACTTTAAAAATTTCATCTCAGATAATCTCAGCGATCAACGCTTACTGTGATTTTGGGCGGGAGGTTGAATGTGCCATAGTACCCCCCCCCCCCCCCCTGGTTTTTAAAAAAACATTTTACTGACACTTTCCTTAAGTTTTTTTTTCCTCCAATTTTAGACTGACCCCCTGTCTCAGATAATCATCTTTTTAGTTTTAGTAAGAGTTTTACGGCAATTGCAACACAAATAGATCATATAAGTGCCGAAGATTAGAAGTGTTACAAGAGAGTAACAAACATAAAAAAGAAAGAGGAGAGATAAAGACGATATTTTTTTTTTAGAGGAAAGAAGGAGCAAACCACATCAGAGCACCAGCCAACCACCCACATAATGAACGAATCGCCAAGGTCACTGCGAGACACTTTTTTCTCTTAGAATGTTTTTACACAAATACATATACATTATACTGTGTTTTACACGTACACACATGTCGATTAATTTTTAAGATGTGATGTCTTTTTTTATGTAATGCTATTTGAGCATTTTTTTAAAAATGGAAATGCGCAGCATAAATGCTATTTATTATTATTATAATTAATCGTTTTTCTCAAGGACAACGGGTGGTTGTCTTGGACAGGTTTGACTGCTCTCTCAACTCAGGTTCAGATCTGAAAGGAGTTGGACACAATAAAGGCCATTTAAAAATACCAGGTGAAAAACACGTACAGCACAGAAGATGTGAGTTTAATTCTTGTAACAGGAGGTTCCTTATTATAGCAGCCTGCTCACCAAATGATCTAAAAATTGCGTTGGTGAGGGCACAAACCATTTACAATTATAATTACAGTTACTGCAGATTTCTTAACTCAGATCTGACTGGCTCACAAACACAAATATTAGTAAAACAAATGGTGTGTTATTTATGGCCACTCATATTTTTCAAAAGCCTATACTTCCAACCACCCCACCCCTCTCCCACCCCCATCCTCTGAAACAGACAGTAAAATTCATTAGATGTGATATAAAAGAGGCCAATGATGTAATTAAAAGGATTGACAAGATCTTCATGATTCCTCCTGACAAGAAGTAGAAGCCAATGTGTAAATGTTCTTGAAGATCTAAGAGGAGGTAATAAGAAACAAATATATCTTAAAGAATTTTCCAATTTCTTATCTGGTAATCAAAATATAATCTCTCTCTCTCTCTCTCTCTCTCTTTCTCTAACTCTCTTTCTCTCTCTGTCTCTCTCTCTTTCCCTCCCTCTCATCTACTAGCTTACCAATCTCTTTAAACTCTTTCCCCGTGACCATTGCATCACAGAGTTGTACTGTATGTGTATGTATGTCTGTCTGTCCGTCCGTCTGTCTGTCCGTTCTTCTGTTAGTCAGTCTGTCTGTCTCTTGATTATCTTCCTACCTCCTTGAACTCTCTCCTCATGACCTTTGTGTCGTAGTGTTGTATCGTTTCCCGAGCAATGACCTGTGCCTCCTCCTTGACCTCTGAGGCTATGACCTCTGACTCGATGAACTCCTCAGCCATGATGTCAAAGACCGTCTCCTCCAACTGGTTTGTTCGGGGGTGTAAAGAAAAGCTAATCAGCACAGTAACCATCATTTAGTGTGGGAGAAAGTGTCAGACAGACAGACAGACAGACAGACAGACAGACAGACAGACAGACAGACAGACAGACAGACAGACAGACAGACAGACACAACAAATTTGTTTGTTGGAGTAAAAAGAGATACTTCAACACAACAATGGTCTTTTAGTTTAAAAGAGTTTTACGGCACTCGCAACACAATAAAGTCATATAAGTGCAAAAGATTAGAGGTGTTACAAGAGACAAAAAACACAAAAAAGAAGGAGGGGAGATAAGGATGATAGATGTTTGGAAAGAAAGAGCACACCACACCAGAGCACAAATTTGTTTGTTTGACGGAGTAAAGAGAATTACATCAACACAATAATGGCCTTTTAGAGGAGGGAAAGAGTAAGAAATACAGACAACAGCAACAACAGCAACAACAGATGATTTAGTTAGAAGCACATTAACATGATATCAAAATTATAATCAAAATCAGGAATAATATTTCAGGATCATCATCATCATCATCGTTGTCATCATCATCACAGACCAAACAATTTTCCTTTTTGTCATTTCTTTTTCTTGAAGCATAAGAATTTGTACCATGTTGGCACAATTTTACATAGCTTTCAAATGTTGGTACCAAATCAGGATACGGAACAATAAATACAAAAACAAAAACAAAACAACAGGGAGTACCAGCCCCATCTGTGACTTTGTTGTATATTATCATTTGCTTGAAGTGTGAGTGTGTATAGTTACCATACCACAGCAAAGTTCTCTTTTTCGAGATCAATAAAACATTATCTTATATCTTAAGTTATCTCACAAACTCCAGAGCCGTTCACCCACCAGATCAGGCGCTATCTCATCGAGATAGTCGTCCACCATTTGATGTACGACCCCTGTGGCGACCTCCGTCTCCAGGTAGTCCTCAGCCATCTGCACCACCGTGTCCCGCACCACCTCTCGGGACACCTGACGCACACACTCCTGGATCAGATCCGTGAGGAAATCTTCCAACGGGTCGCGTTTGAGCCGTTGTTCATCCACATAGCTGAGCAAGTTTGTGAAACGTTTTTGTTGTTGTTTTATTTAGGAATATAATATATTATTTGTTTGAAGTTTGACTGTGTATAGCTGCACTGCCATAGCAAAGTTCTACAGCACTTACAATACAATTAGGCTATACAAATGTAGAAGATAAGAGGTGTTACTATTGAGTACCACACAAAAAAAAATCAAGAAGGAAAGATAAGTACGACAGATGTCCAATAGAAAAGAAGGGGCAAACCACACCAAAACCACCCAACAGCCACCCACTTTTGGAACAAGTGTGAGCTTTCCTAGATAACTTTTTTTTTTACACAGGTCACCCTTTCTACATGGCTGTGAATGTTAGCTACCTACCAAAGATTTTCAACCTGAACTAGAGGCAAGAGGAATATGGTTTCTTTGTACACAGTTGAGAATTCCAGGGGAGGAAAAGAAATTGAATTAAGAAGTGCTGAAAAAGGCCCACGTTGGACACCAATTAAAAAAAAAAAAGCAATTAGGGAGAGGCAGTTCCTTTCATACTTGAATAAACATAAAGGTCTAGAACATCTTGCGCTCACTGGTAAAATAGAAGGCAAAAGAGGCAAAGGTAAACCAACAATAACTTTATCTGTAAACTTAAAAAGATGGGGGAAGGGTAAAAAGCAGGATGATATACACCAAAATAAGAATACTCAATAAAGGGACAGTTAAGCCAATCATCTACACACATAACAATGCTACCAGACCCTCTACTGGCCCTAATAACAAATACAAAATAGCAAATATCATTCCACAGCATTTACATCAAATATTCATTAGTTTTAATATTATAAGAGTTTTAACTCTTTTTATCCGGGCTACGAGTATACTCGTAACGAGGACCAGTCCGGGCTACGAGTATTCTCGGAACAGCGATACGGTCATGTCAAAGAAGCTAGTTCTGCTTGTTATTACCCAAATACGGCGATGCTAGCTCTGTCTGAATATTTTAATTTTCCAATGAACAATGGTTTCTTTGTTTTTGATGGGTGTAGAAGCTTGAAAGATGTCTCGAAAACGCACTTTCTCGACCGACGAAGTACTTTTTGAAGTGGCGCTGGGTTGTGAGGGGGGAATGATACTAATTTGATGAAAGTGACTCTGAAATAGGTGCCGTAAATTCCGTTCTGGGTGATAAGAAACACGACTTAGACTCATCTAATAGCGATTCAGATCATGGTGAAGGGGTCAATACTGGAATTTGTGCTCGATGGGTAGGGCTAGATCTAGATCTATAAAATCCAATGGGACATCGTGGGCGCGGCAATCAGGGTCAAGTTCGAGGGTGGAATACACCTCAAAATCTACATTGTGCTATTGGTGTATTTCCTATCCACATATATTTACAAAAACTACATTCAATTTCTAACATAACTGCCAAATTTCCTTAAAATCTTAGAGTAAATGTAAGAAATACAGCACTTTGAACTATACGCACTGACTTCCGACTCATACGGCGCGGCAGCCCCAGGACTGGTACAGAGTCCGTGGGGGTATGGCTAGGATAAAAAGAGTTAAGGCACTTGCAATACAAGTAAGCCACATAGTTGCAACAGGTTAGACAATAGCAAACAAAGAAAAAAAGGAGGAGAGATAAGAACGATAGATATTTGATAACAAAGAAGGAGTAAACCACACCAGAGCACCCATCAATCATCCAGACATCAAAGGGCACAATCCCAAATTATGTCGACATATCACATCAATAAGAAAAACACGACTCACTCGCTAGCACTCTCAGCCAGTGACTCCCGCGCTATGTCAGAGATCAACTCAGACAAATGGTCGCCCAGCAAGTCCTCACACGCGTACAGCGAAGGAACATACAACGGGTGGTTGTAAGGCTGAGGATGGAAATGAAAAACAATCACATTATGAGACAGGATAAAATGTTAGACGAACTTTAATTACCTAACAATTTCAAAAAGGTCGGAATTACCAAACTATGAATAAGTGTTAAATTTCTTTCACAGACTTGGTCTGAACAGTATTAGTTTGAAAAAGAAATACCTATCAAACAGGGTAAACTATTACAATAACGACTTCACAAAGAGACACTACATACATGTGGTACAACATTTTTTCAAAACACAGGACTTCACACCTGACCACAAAATGCAGTTTCTTTTTCATAAAATCTTAAAATAATAAATAAGATTTAATAGCTGCAGCAGATCAAAACTACAAAGGAAAACTTTCCTGGTTGAAAGAAGAAGCGTATAAAGCTGTACTTTTAAACCATGGTAAACCACATTTTCCACACAATGAGTCAGAGCAAGAAACCAAGATAATACAACTCAATGTTCAAAATAAAATAGTCACAAATGCACGTGATGAAGCTTTGCACTCGAAATATCAAATAATCTAAACATACTTGATAAATCTATCAAAGAAGCTAACAAGATACTCTTTAAGAACATTTCAACAACACAGTAAACGAGCTTTGTTTAAGCCAATCAGACATATTCAGAATGCAATGTCTGACTGAAAACTTTTGTAATTAGCAATTTTGTCCAAATTATCTATCACAACACTGAAGAAAAAAAAAGGAAAAGTGTAGAAAGCATTGGGATTATAGGGTCTTAAAGTATAGGAGGCTGCTGCAAAAGGCATCAACTGCCATTTTGGTCCGAAATATCTGATTATCTCTCAGCTAATGGTGTCATAAAAAAACTCGATCAGCATTTACAAATGATTCTAGCATCATTTAGTATAACATTCCATAGTATAACATTCCAACCCCAATTAGGGACACATAAATCAGAAACAGTCCCAGTAAATTTAAGAAGTTTGGTAAGCCTGCAAAAGCTTTGACAATATCATTTTGAAATTGAAGCCTACTCATGTTTCAAAACACGACCTTTCTTCACAGCCTCAAATTGATAAAGAAAAAATCTTCAAAAGCAGCACATTATATAGAATTACTACAAATAAAAAAAGATAAAAACAAAAAGGAAATATCTTTTAAGTCAGCTTTCTCTGAAGGAGCAAGAAATGACACGGAATATAACTTTCCAAAATGAAGCAATATAGTCATAAGGAACAATTTTTAAAAAATTGAATACCTGATACCAGTACCAGGAAGATATTATAAACAATAGCAAAACAAACCAAAAAGAGTAAAATAATCTACTCCACCAAAGCATTTCAACTGGGTGTACAATAGCGTCAATAGGACAGCAAATCAGCAAAAAAGCTTCCTTTCTTTAATCATGCTGCACTTGAGACAAGTACAGGGGTATTCCGAACAAAAGCATATCAAGGGCAAGCAATAAGCAGAAAAGAGAGCCCCTTGCGGGAATCAAACTCAAGTCCTGTCCTATGTTAGCAGTGGCATATAGAGCTTCACTCCACAATTTTGCGTATCCAGTGGCGAAGGGTGTTACTTTAAAACAGCTATAATTCAGCCAAATATATATGGATTTATTTGTATGAGCACTAAAACTATTCTTAATTGGACAAAGGATTCCAATATGGGCGAAAATAAGAAGTGACAATAACACAAGATCAGGTGTAGATCTTGGGGTTGACGAAATCAATACTGCCAAAATGCCACTGAAGTGGCGAGCTGAATTCAAAGAGTCAACTAAAGGGAGGTTGGGGTTTGGTTGAGGAGTGAAAGAGTGATGGGGAAGAGAGGGCTGGGAAGGATGCTGTCTTCAACGAGAGGAAAAACACAACAAATTTTAAAATCTCTGATGGTGTAGTACAACCGGTACTAAGGTAGGCTTAATAAATCTGGAGGCTATGGCCCGGGGCAATTGAACATGTATATTGATATACTGTAGAGAAAAAACCAACTAGATCTAGAGAACAGAGAAAAAAGCAAATAATCTAAAGTAAAATAAAGTGATGACTACTTTTGGAGAAATCTGCAAAAATATATAACTAAGAAAGATAGTTGTAGAAAAATGGAAGAAAATTTTCTGTGCTTGGACAAAACAATGAAGTACTCTTAAACAGAAATTTGCAGGACCACCGGATTTTTTTTCAATTAAGGGGGATTTTCAGTTTAAAGAGGCTGCTCACCTAGAAGAAAAAAAAAATCTGGGGTTTTATTCTCTGTATTACTGGTGCTTTAGGATTAATCATGCTTGGTTTGAAGTGGATTCCATTGTACATAAGAATTAGAGACAAGTATAAGTTGGCATATTGCTTTGCAGCTCTCTATACCGTGTCCTTTTTACAGGATTGTATAGAGCGCTGTAGTTGATCTTTTCACAACTCAGGCAAGTGGGTAGTTGTACTCTGGCGTTGTTTGCTCCTTCTTTCCCATCCAACATCTATCGTCCTTTTCTCTCCTCCTTCTTTTTTGTGTTTGTTACTGTCTTGTAACAGCTCTGATCTTCGGCACTTATATGATATGACCTTATTGTGTTATAAATGCCGTAAAAGTCTTACTAAACACAACTCAAGCAAGAGCCTTTTTCTTCACATCGATGAGAGGCTGAAGAACTCCGACCGAACGATAGTCTAAGATAATATTTGTTCATAACGACATTGTTTAGTTTTTCCGGTACTGTTCATTCTATTCTATTCAAGACCAGATCAATACGGTATTATATTGATATGTAAAGCCAAAATCAAAATGAAAGGAAACCAAACTAGAACTAGAGACCCCCCCCCCAAAAAAAAACCCCAAACAAAAACAACCTTAAAAAACCTTAAAAAAGAAGAAAAAAAACCCCCAAAAACAAATACAAAGAAAAAACCCCCAAGCAAAATCGCAAAACAGGGAGTCTCGACACATGGAACTATTGACCATACTGAAAAATAGAAATGTCTCAAAGCAAGAGAAGAAACAGCTTCAAACAAGCAATACAACAGAGGCATGCATGTCAGCAAGATGTGCAACACAGATGAAGCGAAGGGCTTGTGAATCCAAAGAATATATACAGAGTAGGCAAGAGACCAACCATACGCTGCATCTCATTCAAAACTTCAATTAAGAAATCGGGTAGCAGATCAGTATCCAGACAGTCGTGAATGAACCAATCGATGTAATCCTGGGCAAACAGGGGGTGCGACTTGAAGTGTTCATGGGCTTCTCGTATCTGTCACATGGAACATGCATGGGAGATGGGATGTGAGGATGTGTTCTCTCTTTCAATTTTTTTCTGTTTCAATTTCTCTCTCTCTCTCTTTCTCTCTCTCTCTCTCTTTCTATCCATACATCTATCTATCTATCAATTTAACTATCTATTTATCTATCTCCCTTTCTCTCTCTCTAAGAGAGTTGTTTAAGGGGAGTGGGGAGGAAGCATGGTCTATGCGTCTGTATGTGTGCTGGAATGAGAGTGCATGTGGGTGTGTGTGTGTGTGTGTGTGTGTGTGTGTGTGTGTGTGTGTGCGTATGTGTGCGAGTGTGTGCATGCATGTGCGTGTGTGTGTGTGTGAGAGAGAGAGAGAGAGAGAGAAAGAGAGAGAGAGAGAGAGAGAGAGAGAGAGAGAGAGAGAGAGAGAGAGAGAGAGAGAGAGAGAGGAAAAGCCAGAGAGAGAGAATCAGAGAACAACAAAGAGGCAGAGATACAGAGAGAGAGAACAAGAAGGAGAGAAAGAGAAAGAGAATAAGGGGGAAGAGAAACAGAAATAACAATGGATATAGAAAGAAAGAGAGAAAGAGACAGAGATAACGAGGGAACAAGAGAGAGACAAAAGAGAGAGATGGAGAAAGAGAAAAAGAGACAAAGAAAATAATGGTACGATCGGGAAAAAGATATAGCAAGAATGAAAGAGAGAGAACAAGGGAGAGAGAGACTGAGAGATCGAGAGAGGGAGAGCTTTGAGAGAAGGCTCAAGAGAGAGAACAAGAGAGAGTGAGAGAGAGCAAGAGAGAGAGAGAGAGAGAGAGAGAGAGAGAGAGAGAGAGACAGAGAGAGAGACAGACAGACAGACAGACAGACAGACAGACAGACAGACAGACCGTCGGGGTGGGCGATAGGCGATACTGGCCATTATCGAGTATTTATCGATAAAGAGAGCTCAATATCGATAAGTACTCAGTACTTACTAAGATTCAACAAGATTCCTTACTGGAATAGATTCTAATGTCAATCATAAATTATTTCCCCCATAAAATGCCATGAAAAGCAGCAGTAGGCCTACCTGCATTAGCTTCAGCTGTGCCTTTTGCTGTTGGGGTTTTTCAATAAAACCTGTTTTTTCAGTTTTTGGTTTTATTATTTTTTTTAGGGGAAAAAGGGGGGGGGGGCAGGGCTTCATTTTTTTCCCCTTTTTCTTCTAATGTAGCTGAACCCTTGAACCCTAAAAGTCGCCTTCTGAATTTTTGGGGATCAACTGCATTCATAAACTCTTGGAATCCCTCCCAACTTCCATCATGGAAATGAGTTGCATGTCTGTATATACAGTTTATAGTTTTCTGGTCAGCAGCCTTTCCAATGCTTTTTAATTAAATTTAAAAAAAATTAAATCCCAACATGCCAAAACTTGAGTATCGATTAGTATCAACTGAGCAACGAAAGAATCTAAGTAATTACATAGGGGCTCGTTCTTAATAAGTACTGAGTACTGGTATCGATTAGTGCCCACCACTATCAGACAGACAGACAGACAGACAGACAGACAGACAGACAGACAGACAGACAGACAGACAGACAGACAGGAAAACTTAACAAACCTACTTACTGCAAAGTGGCAATGTTAATTACTTAATGATCAGCTGAATATTTAAAGATTCTGACAATCACCTATTTCATGCTTTTTTTTTTTTCATCTTTAGCAAACGCAATTTTCTTTTCTAAACCAACTTCCCCGTCCCCTTAAAACTGACAAATGAAGACAGTTCTTCTTTCCTTCTTAGCGTTCCCCTGCTAGACCTCAGGGGTAGTCAACAGCTGGTTCCTCAACCTGCAGAACAATTGATTTATGATATCTGACTGTTTTTCCAACCAAGTAGGAGCCCTTGCCTTCAGGCAGCCTCATTCTGATTTTGAAGGTCTTCTATATTTATATATATATATATATATGTTTTCATACTGACAGGAGTATTTTCAGCTTTGTTTGCAATTAAATCAGAACTTTGCGTGGGTAGCGGCCAAAGCATACTTTTATCAATTATAGGACCATCAAGGAATCTTTAATGTGCGCAACTTGCACCGGGACCTCTGAGATTTTTTTCCCTTATCCAAGAAGGTTGGTGATGAAGACAGTTATATTATGTATTTCTAGATTTAAATCTGCTTTCCTAGCCTAGGGCCAAGAACAAGATCAACTATCCTTTGATTCTAAATATTTGTGAGGCATCGTGGTGAAATCAGGCGCTCGTCAAAATAACAAAACTGGAGAGACAGGCATTTTCCCATCAGTTTCGCAATTTTAATCAAATTTTTGGAATTTTGTTCACTCTTTAATGACCAAATAAAAACACATTACCATGGCCATGTGAATTGTATTGAAAAAAGTTGATTAAAAGCTCAAAATATGCAATTTTTCAGTTTTTAAGGTCTCTTTAGCTATTGAAGTAACTAAACTTTGGCTGCCATTTTCTCGTTATTTTTACCGCTGAACTTACCTCTTTCAATCACAAATTTCTTCACTTTTGCTCAAGATAGATGGGTATTTTTTGTCATCAAAAGCAAGATAAATGAACAAGCTTTAAGATGATACCAATAACTTCACATGCACAAAAATTGACGAGCACCTGATTCCCCCCGCGTCTTGACACATTTTGATTCAAACCTCATTGCAAAGAAAAAACCTCCACTCTATTTCCATTCAATCCTCATTACAAAAAAAACCCCTCCATCCGCATCCTTACATTTTGTCTACGAGTTGACAAAAAGACGTACCCTTTCCCAATCCAACCATTTCATCTTTACATCATTATTTCAACCCTTCTACCATTTCAACCCCATCACAATAAAAAGACATTCTTTCCCTATCCTACAATTTCATCCATACATCATCTTGTCACCCCATTCTACCATTTCCTCCCCATCCTACCATTCCATTCTTATCACAATAAAAAGACATCCTCTCCCTATCTTACCATTTCATCCTCGTCACTGTCCTCTTCCTCCTCTTGTGGTGGTGGAAACATCATCGTCATGGCCGGCATCATGGGCGTGGCAAACATGGGCATAGACTGGTGTGCCTGCGCCTTGGACTTCCTATTCTTCTGTTTCACCGGGATACCAGACTGTGACGCGTACGCTCGCCTCATGTTGTACTTGTCTTTGTAACCCACAGCTCTGTCGAGAAAAAGTGTGATGAGCAATTTAAACAAAATTTTTAACCTGACCAGCATGACGAAAATATTTTTCAGTTTGAGTAAAGAGAAGCACATCGCCTCAATAATGGTCATTTCATGCTGGGAAGAAGTAAGACAGACAGACAGACAAACAGACAGACAGACAGACATACAGACAGACAGAACAGACACAACAGAGGGAAGGTAAAGAAGTAGGAGCTACCAGTGGTGCTCTCCAACCACCCGCACGTCAACAGTGCATAACAAGTTAATAAAACAAATTTAAATGTCAAAGTGCATTACAGATCAATTAAACAAACATCAAAGTGCCTAACAGATGAAAAGAAGTGAACATCACAGTACACTACAAATGAATATAAGATATAAATGAGCATTTCAATATCAAGGCCCTTATAAGATCTCAAATGTGCTGCCAAGTAGTTTAAGAGAGATCAAATCCTTTAATTCATCCAAATATCAGATAAAGTCATTTCTGTTTTTAATAAAATTAAAAAAGATAAATATTTAGAGAGAAATTTTCTTTTGGTCAGAACACAATGTACTGATTATATGTTACTTTTGTATAGTAAAGTGCTCAGAGCCTGTGTCCACCCCCCTCCCCTCCCCCCAACCAGGGCAGGGCTACTGACTGAAGTTGTCTTTAGGCCATTCCCAAAAGGGGGATACTAAAATGTTCTTATGCACAGTAGAATTGTAAATGGGCTGATTTATCAAAGTCATGCTCATACTGTGCCGGAACAACAGAGGGGAACTGCTGCTTCTTCTTTCCTCATCCTTACTATCATCATTTTTCCTCTACTTTTTTGCATGTTGGTCACTCTCTTGTGAACTGCTATTTTCGGGGTGCCTAGATAGTTGAAGTAGACTTTGTGCTGTTGAGGCCAGAGAGGTGAGTAGAGTAAGGCTGATTCCCCGTTTGGACTTCTCTGTTGACATCCACTCCTTGGCGCTCATATATGACCTTATGCAGTTAAGAACGTTGTAAAATCTTACTAAATCAAACAAGAGCCTGTGTACTTTAACTCATTCGCTACATGTTATTTTGGGCTTGTGGACAAATTTTTTTCGGGAGGGCAAAATGAGATGACTACTAGTTCGCATTCACAGGTGTTTGGGGCCACAAATTCATATAAATGCCAACATATTATACACTGAAATTTTTAGTATGATTTGTAGAATACATCTGCATTGTTTATTTGTGTATTTTTCAACTTTGGTTCCTGTAAGAAGCAATTATGAAACACAATTTTGTTTGGATGCGGATGAAATTTGAATAAAAAATTAATCATATTTGATGAAAAAAAAAATATTTGCATCAAGTCAAATGATACGTCAAAATAACCATAAATAAATATAGAACTGGAAAAATATTGAAAAATTTGCAGTTATTTACATACATTACACATAATTTGTACATTTGAATCATAACATCCGATACTGAAAAAAATTTAATAAAAAAACAAAATCTTGAAAAAAGGACAAAATGCATTCACAAACAGTACAAAACACAGGCATCTTATATATAAAATTATTCAGAATTGCATTTCGAATATAACTACACATGTCTTGAGTGAAATTTTTTGTGTAATTTTACTTTTAAAAATAGTGATTTTCGGGAGAAAAAAATAGTTTGGCAACTTCGAACTTGCACTGAAAAATATTAGACATTTTTCTATAACAGAGCAATGGCAATTTGAGTTCATTTTACAAATATCAATTTTCTAAAGAAGAGTCCTACATTCCTTTAGTAAACACGATAATGATATATTTTGTTTTGTAAAAGTGCCAAGACTGGCATCTGGGCTATAATTTGGGCATCATGATAAAACAAAGTCGCATAAACTTCGAAATCGTGTATCAAAACTTAGGATTTTCGGTGGAATCGCTTGACCCGGATATCAACATTACATTATAATCTTTATTTTAACTCATTCGCTACATATTATTTTCGGCTTGTGGGCGAATTTGTTTCGGGAGGGCGAAATGAGATGATGACTAGTCATGCGCAGTTCACAGGTCTTTTGGTCATAAATTCAAACAAATATCAACATATTATTTATATACCCACATTTTCAGTATGGTTTGTAGAATACACCTGTACTGTTTATTTTTGTGTATTTTTCAACTTTGGTTCCTGTAAGAGGCGATTATGCAACACATTGTGATTGGATGCGGATAAAATTTGAAAATAAAAAATTAATAATCTCAGGTGAAACTCAAAAATAATGTTTGCACCTAGTCAAATGATACATCAAAATAACCATAACTGTATTTTGAACAGGAAAATATTGAAAAATTTGCAGTTATTCGCATACATTCCATAATATTTGTACATTTGGATCAAAACATCCGATATTGAAAAACAAATCTTTTTAAAAACAATTTAGAAAAAAGGATCACTAACAGAAACAAACACTCGTATCTTACATGGAATTATTCAGAATTGAATTTGGAACACACCTAAACATGCCTTGAGTGGGTTTTTTTGGAGTAATTTTTTTAAAAAGTAATGATTTTGGGGAGAAAAAAATATTTTGACTATTTAGATCTCTCTAGATATCTAGAACTCAAAAATTTTGATTTCTCAAATACAGTGTATTGGCAATTTGAGTCCAGTAGTATCAATATTATAAAGAAGAGTCCTACATTTCTTTAGTGAGCAAAATAATTATACATTTTGTTGTGTAAAAGTACTAAGACTGGTGTCTGGGCTATAATTTGGGCTTCGCGATAAAACGATGTCGCATAAACTTCGAAATGGTGTTTCAAAACTGAATCAAAACTTCCGATTTTTGGTGGAAACGCTTGACACGGAAGTCAACATTATATTCTGACCTTTATTTTAACATGGATATTTGGATTGGAATAGAAACCAAGCTAAAATTAAACGTCGGTTCTGGAGCCGTCGGGGGCGGCTTAGCGTACTGACGGCAATTTAGCCACGCCGCCCCCCACGGCTCGGTGTAGCGAATGAGTTAACATGGATATGAGGATTGGAATAGAATCTAAGCTAGAATTATAGGTCGGTTCTCGAGCCGTCGGGGGCAGCTTTTCTCGAGCTGTCGGGGGCGGCTTGCCGTAGTGAATTCACTTTACCTGCGCCGCAGCCCACGGCTCGGCGTAGCCAATGATTTAATCGGGGTTGAGCGCTATATAAATGCCATATATGTTATTATTATTATTATTAAATATGTATAAAGGTTTACCTGTCTTGTCTCCCAAAAGGTTTTTTCTTTTTCTTTGCCCCTTGTGGTGGAGGTGGGTAGTAGACAGGGAATGGGGCCCCGTACACTATCTGCGGAGCCATGTATGCTGGCATGGGGGATGGGTATGGCTGCGGCTTAAAGCGGCGACCGCGGCCATCTTTGTTCTGTTTGTGCGTACGCTGGTGGTCATACTTATTACCGACACCTCGTCGTAGACCATAGTCTTCCTCTTCATCTTCATCCTCATCATCGTCACTTTCCTCTCCCCAACTATCATAGTCTTGAGGTGGGACCCTGTGAGCAAATTAATTATAATTAGTCATATTATATTTTTAGAGGTCTCAAGAAGAGGTAATTTTTTTTAATCAGCTGGAAATCAGCCGTCCTATTAAAAATTTTTCATTTTGTATATCTCATGTCATCTTTTAAGACTCATATTTGTCCCACCTGAGAAATAAAAATATGATAAAAATTGCCCAAAGGGCAGAAAAATGTCGATTCCTTCAATTTCATTATTTTGACAAGCACCTGATTTCACTAAAAATGTACACAATAAATTCCTGTGAAGTGGGGGGGAAAATTAAGAAAGAAAAGGGTTAAATTGTTAAATACACAGATGGAAATTACTCTTTCTTTTACAATTTTGTCTATGCCAACAAGAACATATGAATTACGAAAAAAACATATAAAAAACACTTACTTTAACGATAAAAAGAAGTGTCTGAGTTCAAAAACACTTTAGAAGATCATGTCCCTATTAACAGCAGAGAGCAAAGTGAAAGTGTCCTCATCATCACCATCTGTTGCTGCAATCTTCTCTCAAACAAAGCTCTTACAGACCAACCACGTAATCTTACTTGGACTTGGAGAATGCTATTTTTGGCTTGACTGGAGGAATCACTTCATATCCAAGTGGTCTCGTCTCTCTATTCTCATATGAAGACCTTCGCTGCTGCTCTGGCTGGGGGCTTAACCTGGAAGAATAACGACAAAATATGACATTTTTATAGCACTTCATCCTCATTAAAAAGCACAGGCTCTTTTTTGCAGTGCTAAATAAAGAATACAAAACGTTATCCAGAGAGTGTTTCTATGAGCACATTTTGAGATGATTTGATGAACTTAATTTCAAGAACAGTCAGTAAAATGTGTTCTTTCAAAATTTCCTGTTGAGCAGAAAATCAGAAACAACAGTTGTGGCACATGAAAGTCTGTTGTTTTTTTTCCTTACCATTCAATTGGGAGTATAATATTTGTTGTTACTTGAACATAAACCAATGTTTAACACTAACCTTCTGTCTGCCTGTGCCTACAGCAGTGCTTAGCCAAACCTGTTTCTCTGTGGGTGGTGATCCTTTCCTCAGTGATGGGGCCCCGATGCGTTGGAATCTCACACGTTACACACAAACAAACCGATGCTCTAACTAGCCTTTTCTCCACCCGAACTCTCAGCAGGCCTCCTCTGCCTTGCTACAGCTCTCCCCTCTAAAGTCTAACCTGTAGTAACCCAGACTGCTTTTATAAACTTGCAAACAATACAACTGAACTGAGACTCACACTTTACTCACCCTCACACTTTCAGCAAAACAATACAATAGGCTAGGCCTAACCCCCTGCCACAACCAAAAACAACCAAATAGACCACAATATTCTCGTCACAGCATGATGATAGGCTGGCAGGTTATATGGATGCATTTATAAAAAGGGAAAATGCAGTGCATACAAAAGTTAATTTTTTGGTGATCTTGTAGTTCCGTTCGTTAAAGTCCACGATCCATTTGTTTACATCCAGAGAAGAAATCCGGAAGTCTTGATGACCAAATAGGCAACACAAAGAACAGGGATGCAACCTAACTGCAAAACATCAAATGGTAAAATTCAGGGGGGCATGGACATCCCCCCCTCCATCCCTGAACCCCCCCCCCCCCTCCATATTTTTATTAGGTCAGGGGGGCAAGCCTTGGTGCTCAAACCGGCAAATAATAATTGGGGGGGGGGGGGGGGGGGGGACTGCAGAAGAATAGAAGATTCTTTGCTTGAATTTTGATTTACTGGCTTTAGTGTTTCCTTCCAGTCTGACACTTAGTTGACTCCTCAACGATTACCTGGCAATTCAGGGTCTCTGGCGTTCAGCTTTGGACTTAAATCACCAGTTTTTCTCCGATTCAGCTGTTGATTTTAAAATTCCATTAACAGAAAAAATTATTTTAAAAAAAAAGTAATAACTAAAAAAATACTGCATATTATTTTGTCAAATATTTTTCCTGATTCCAGTCCTCACTCACTTGGGTAGATAAGGTGATGGTGTTCTCCTGTACTTCCCAAATGGAGGATGATTTAGACCATTTTTTAATGCTGATGAACTGATCGGGGTTTTTTTCCTGACTCCTCCAGCAGGTGAATATCTTGATCGGCTCTTCTTTCCTGAAGCCAACTCTTCTCTTATCTTGACGAGTCTATAAGAAAAGATGAGATATATAAAGGAATAGGAATGAAAGGATAACAATTCTACCAAAAATATGCTGTACAACCAATGAAACCCCCCTCTTTGATAAAAATAGAAGGAGGTGGCTATCCTCACCCGGGGTGAGAATAAAAATACGATCGACCTCTCACCCCGGGTGAGACTTGCCAGCGTTGGCTATTCTCACCCGGTGCGAAACAAGACCTGTTTTTCCTAATTTCGGAATATTGTCTTTCAGTGTAGATTATCAAATTGACAAAAGCAAAGAAAAAATGACGTTATAGCCCAAAAGTAAGCAAATTTGATCGTCAACAAAGATTATGGCTATTTCACTTTTCGAATCAAGCCGAACTATGCGGGTCGCCATTTTGTTTTCTGAAAGTTCTCTCGCTACTCCTCTCCCCCCCCCCCCCCCCAAATAAAATTGCACGCTTTCATTTCAACACGAGAGCGCTGGAACGTTTGTTCATAGCACAGAATTCTACACTTCTGTTATCAAAGTGGTTCACGGTGAACACTACAATGGTTGGCCTAGCCTAGGCTACCACGGTGAACGCACACCGGGTGAGAACAGCCAAAAGGCTAGCCAGCGCTATAAAAAAATTGTTTTTTAAATGATTAATGCTATTTAAAGTAATCGTACCGGGTCGGGCAGCAGGGTTTTTTTTAGTTTTCGGGCACTGGAGTACAAAAAAATCTTTTAAAACTTTGTTTTTAAATCTAACCCCAAAAGAGTGGCACACAAACCTAAAGCAACCTCCCTTACTTTCGTTGACACTACAGTTACGGCGACCTTTTGCTAAAAATAGTCCTTAAGACAGCTTTTTCTTCATCAATTGAGCAAAGCAGTGTGAAGCTCTTACCCCAGGAAGAGTTACCATTGGTTGTGGATGAAGGAGTCTAGGCTGTGGCCTAGATTCTACGTTTTGGTAAACTCTGAAAGCTGGATAGTTATTTACATATGAGGCCCTATCAAGGATGAAAGAGAATTAGCACTTCAGTCTCGCTGTTTTTGCCCAAAGGGGGGTACCCGGATTGTAACATAAAATCCGTAGTTTCTCATCCTTCGGGCACATAGATAATATAATGCCAATAGTTATATAATAAAGAATCAAGAATTCGTGCATAATTTAAATAATAGTAGAGTCAGATACAGCATATTAGCTCAGTCGGACATCAGTGTAGTAGAGTCAGATACCAGTGTAGTTGAAGTTGAGTGAGCCAGATACCATCCATAGCCACTTCGAATTATATAATATGGGCCTCAAATATGTGAACAAGCTGAAACAGTACATTCCTGGGGTCATCCAATCACAGGGTTTCCTGTAGCAAGTTTCGGTTTATCTTTAGGGCAAGGCAGATAGGAGGTATAAAGCTTTAAAGTGGACGTGCCTCTATTTTCGTCCTAATTTTGACAGAACCGGTAATTTTACTCTAGTCTACTACTACACTACTGTCTCTAGATCTATCATAATTCCCAGTGACCTCTACGATCCCACTACAATTGAATAGTCACATATCAACTCGTGCCTGCCACAGGGTCATCCATCAACATAATAAAAGTATTCATCGGACCATGTCAAATTAATTATTAATGTCATTATTCATTATATTGGACTTGGGTTGAGGCTGAGGACAGAGCGAGAGCCAAGATTGAGCAAGAATCTTGAATCTAGATTAGATTTCGAGCACAATTTGCTTTCTTAGCTAGTGAATTGTATTTATCATCGTACGTGTCTTGATGCTCTCTCCAGAAAGATTCTTTCTCTAATTCCTGTACTTCGCCAGTCATGTTGAGCGTGTATGTCGATGGCTTCACGTCCTACGTAGCGGAATGCGATCTTTGCTTTTATCCTCCATTATCATCAGGTTGTTTACACTCGATACGGCGGACACCAAACTTTTGCGACTGCGCCCCCTGTTGGAACAGATAAGAATAGTTCCCCTTGACAAGTTCTGAAAACCCATAGATATAGTGGGATAGATTGTTAATATCAGTGGATTAGGGCATCTCAAAATGGTGCTAAACAGGCAAACTGGGCTGCAGAGTGGTTGGAAGGAGGCACAGAACCGCTCTTGGTATCGTCAATATTGTCTAGTAAAACTTCTTTCCAAGCACTTTACTTCTGAGAAAGGAAATTCGATAATAAAATCAATATTTAGCCTGCGCATACATATATTTATTTCTAATTACAATGATTAATGTGCCGACCTATATACAATTACCGGTCTACCGAGATGTGACTGATTAGTTACTGGTTAAATTTTTAAAATTTTAATTACTATAGTTTGCAAACACTGATTTGCCAGATCTTGATCTCGTAGAAGAGTTTCGTGGGTACAGTTTGACCATAGAACAAACCAGAAATTGTTTATTAATAAGCTTAATTATCTCAAGGTATTTTCTTTCTGAGTATATTTTTCTTATTTATAGTTTATTACACTAGTCTTGCCGATTTTCTACTTGTATCAAAGGCAGGATGACATATCTACATACGAAATAGAAGTTTTCAAAGCGGTGAAGCCACGCACTACTGCACAGCTCAATTGTCCTTCCTAGATCCTTTATCTCATTTTTTTCTTCAACTCGTTAATATTTCCTTTTCCACTGGTATTAGCAATCTACTCCATTACATCTATGGGTTTTCGGTACTTATTGTCAAGGGTGTTTCTCGTTTTTCTCAAAATTATAAAATGTCCAGTAATTTTAATGTCTCTGTGCTTTTGGACAGTAGTTTATTTGACCCTGAAATATTACACGTTTTTTCGCCAAGAAACACCACATCTAGAATGATAATGACAATACTGCATTTGTGTAGTTCATACCCATGTTCTACGGCTTGCTATGTGCGCTTTACTGCCCTTATCAATTAATTATTATGACAATAATTTCATTTATCATTACATAATATATTAATATCCGCTAAAACTTCCTGTATGCGCTTTACAACTGTTATTACCCCCAGTCGTAGTCCCTCGAGCACACAGAAACGTTCTCGGCTTCCCGGGATATATAATTCAGTGCAAGCAGCTGATGAAGCGCCCAAACACGAACATACTGACAAGACCCCTCGCAGTCTCCGAGGTGGAGTGAGAAAACCCCGTTTTAAAAAAGTGAGTCTTTCGTAATGGCAAGGCTTCTTTCTTGCCGTCGTTAACAGGAGACATGAGTAAGATTCTGTTGTCGGTGTGTATTTGTGTGTTTGTGAATGTTGGTTTTGTTTTTAATCAGGTCTTTCTGTTGGAATGAAGTATCCCACTTACCCCAGGTTTGCCCAGCCATGTGGACTCGAAGAAGCTTACCTCCTATACGATCATAATGCTGTTGAGGGAGTAACAAAACGTTAAAAAATATTCTATCAACTGTGAATGTATATATGTGTGTATGTGTGTGTGTGCGCGCGCGCGCGCGCGCGCGTGTGTGTGTGTGTGTGTGTGTGTGTGTGTGTGTGTGTGTATGTGTGAGTATGTGTGAGTTTGCGTGAATATATATTATAAATAATAT